GTTTTATCTTATCTGTACAGTAGAAATGTTGCATTATGTATAGTTTTATCTTATCTGTACAGTAGAAATGTTGCATTATGTATAGTTTTATCTTATCTGTACAGTACAAATGTTGTATTATGTATAAAAAGTTTTATTCGGTTTGTGCATTGCAAATACTGTACAAATTGTAGCACTAATTGTATATCCTAATGCTAATTATGACTTTTTTTTTTATAAATATCAAAAAGCTACAATAACGTACCTAATAACTACAGACATACTCCAACTGTTCATAATCTCACACTCATTCCAACAAATTTGTTCCAACCAACTACAGCATATTTTCATTCTAGTTTGATAAAATTTAAAGCAGTTAAATTTTACAATACCAATCTGTTTCACTTTATTGGTCTTTTGTGACACTTTGCTGTTCATATAATTAGTCTTAAGTAATAAGATACAAACTATTTTAAATGTTCTTGAAATAATAATAATACGTAAATTTAAATCTCCTTTTTTTCTTAATAAGATATTGGTAAAATTCAAGTTCTTAAGAAAAACCTAAACCTAAAAGAACAAAAACTTGATCAAACTTAGAACTGTGGAACTATACATATCATAACTCTGAATGTACTACATATAACTTAACTTCATGAAATTTGGCAAGCTTTTTTAACATAGTAATTCTATTAAAGAATTATCTGCAAATTTTTTAAATCCTTTACCAAGTCAGCCTCATATTAAAAATATAAATACATCTTTTTCTTTATAGTTTCATATTTATATACTTTCAAATATTTCAATTTATATTTTTCTATCTTTTATATTGAGATTCACTGAATACAATTCTCACGAAATGTTACCTTCCGTTTATCATATCAAACTCCTAAATACATCAACACAAATATAAAATAATAATTTTTGATATAGCCTCACTTAGTGTTTTATATTAATCTCTATCTTATTTTCTTTTTCATCACTATTAATAGTTTTTAAACAGTTTCATCTCGTGGACCAACAAAATCCACCAATGTCAACTGCTACAGCTAACCTGAATTTTTAAAAGGAATAAGCCACTTGGTGTACTAATTGTCATATTGTGTTAAATTTAACCTTTATTGGTCCGTCTTCCATATTTTATACGTGTTTAATGAAAGTAAACGGATACTCACTAATAACGCTGTCCAATGAAGGGATACACTCTTCTAAAATATTCAACATTTTGTGATGATAATTTGCTTGAAACTTGTACCAGTCTACAAACAGTTTGGCAAATTCAGGTTCTTTTCTAAGAAGTGCATACATCTCTGCTGCTAAGTTATCCTAAGTAGCAATGACAATACATATTCTTATTAACAATACTATTACATCTAAATACATCATAAAACACAACTATACAGTTTACAAAAATAAATAGTGCCTCTACTTCATTTTACATGGCTCAAGTCTAAAGAAAAGTTTAAGCTGTTAAGTACAGGGAAAGCAGCTGGCTGTCAGCATCCACAGCAGACTCTTGAGCTACTCTTTTACCAATAAAGGATGAGACTGACCATCACATAACAATGCTCCCATGGCCATAAGAGCAGGCATGTTCATTGCTAGGTTTCAATCCCATGACCCACAGATTGAAAGTCTACAATCATAATCGCCAGGCCAGGACCCACTGTTATGAACAGATGCTGTATTTGACATTACGATCCATATTGTAGATTAATAAGAAACAATAAAACATTTGATAATTCTCGTCTAATAATGCTGGTAAAATAAGCTGCATGTGAACAAGCATTTCTTTTAGATGTGATTTTTGTCTCCATGATTTTATGGTAACAAACACCACTTTTAAAAACAGAAGGATCAGATTAAAAAAAAAATTAAGCTTTTTTTAAGTTAAAAGTTCACAAAGAAATGCAGTTTCAACTTCATCATCTCATTTATGTGATACTTAAAAGGCTAGAAATGAGTTGAAAGAACATATTTCTACCTCTCCCTAACCAAAAGAACTGAAACAAAAGTTTTTTGCCTGAACAACATGGTGGGCTAAATGGTCAGATCAGAGATCCTTATAGGTCAAGCACAGCTATCCCTAATTTCCAACAGACAGACAGAGGGAAAATGACCAGTCAGCAGCACCAGCCACCTGAAGTGGCTGCTCTAAACAAATGGTGTGACTGACTATCATTCTTATAATGCACCCAAAGCTGAAAGTGTGAAGCATGTTTGATAGCACTATATCTCATCCAAGACCTCTCCAGAATCCAACTCAATACACTTATGGTAGCCACTAGACCAGGTCTGGAAAAAAAAATGGAATCCTAGCCGAAGTATAATAAAATATATCGGAAAATAATCCAGTGTTAGTTTAAATATGAACCTTCTAGAACAGTACTACAAATCAGCCTGTGGTCAAATTTCAAGATAAAAACAAATATTTACCAATTACTGTAGATTTACCATGTTAACTACAAAGTACTTAATTTAACTTCTATATATGGACAACTAGTTCTTGGGATTTTAAATAGTTTAAATTCATAAACGTACTTAGTCTATAATAAGACTAATTTCATCAAAACCCACCTTACACTGCTCTACTTTCAGTGAAGCATCTTCTAATTCTTCCTTCACAACATCTGCTTTGGCTGCTGCATTGTTTAATCCCCCTCCTGTTTGTTGGTTGCTGTGTCGAATGGCCGTCTGATACCTATCAAGTTTGAAAGTTACATTGTACAACCAGAAAATCTATAACCATGCAAACACATTTTCTGACGTACAGGTTACACATATACATGCAACACAACCGTGTGATTAAAGTAACATGAAAGTAGAACTGCTATATAATAAATGTAAATTTATAAACTTGGAATGATTAGTAAAAGCAGAAACACCAAGTGCCACTGATACCTTTTGTTTCTCCCGTATCAGTGTTTTTTAAAGTCACTTTGTGCATAACGCTATAAGCATCATGTTTTCCACACCACTGAAATAGGACCATCAGAAAGCTTTAAATATGTTTTTAAATTTTATGTACTTAAACTTGTTTCTGTTTAACTGCATGCAAACAAAATTTGGTGTTATTAACTGATATACTATAATTTCCAGTCTGCCCCTGATGAAGAAAAGTCAATCTTTCAAGAGTTCAGGTCATAGGGTTTGTAAATCGTTCTTTTTAACCTAAGTGTTCTCCCAACATCATAAAGACGTACTAAGTCTTTATTCCGAGCTTCAACTTGCATGATTTATAAAAAATTCTTACTTTATTCTTTGAAACAAATACTTGTTTTTTGGAAATATAAGCTGTTATACATTTCATTCACTGATGAAAAAAAAAGATTATTTTCCACTGCTCGATTAAAATGTTTTGCTTCATCTATTAGCTCTGAAGAAGTAATAGTGGACAAAATCTAACATATTTTAATAATACACACACACACTGCTAACATATAAAACACACACACACCTGCAAAAATGAGCAACACAGATTTTATAAAAAGCTGTTGAAGCTGCCAAGGCCTTTTCTTATTATGGAAAAAAAAAAGTAATCATTTAATTTATTAAAAAACATATCTGAATAACAAAAGAATGCAAAACTATATTTCATGGAAAAAAAAAAGATAGTATTTGTTTTTTTTAGTATTTTACAATTATCCTTCAAGAAACAACATTAAGGTATATAATTCTCAAGGTTTTATTAAAGTTTAACTTACCTAGACCGTGCTGAATCCATGTCTAATGTTAATTTGTTCAAATGTTTTCTCAACTTGCTGATGTTAGGAATATCATTCTGGAAATAAGATAAAGAATTATATCTGGAACTCTATAATGATTATGGATATTTGTATATTAAATTAAATGTTACAGCAAAATTATGGATATACTTCAGCATAACACTCTTTCATACATTATGGATGCAGAGAGCATAGGACAGCTGTAAATATAGTTTATACTGTACTACCTATCAGTGATGTGGTGTTAAATGTTGTAGTGACAGAGCCCTGCCAAAATTTGTCAGACGTATGATGTCACTATAAGGGTAAAGATCTCGAAAGCTAATTTCAATTTTTTTGAGTCCATTTTAAATAAAGAAAACTAATTATTTGAGGCTACTTACGTTAAAGCCAAACAGAATATGCATATAGTAGTGAGAAGGCATGCAAATGAACTTCCTTTAAATTAAACAGCAAGGCAAACAAAACAACTGTGCACCAAATAAAAATCATTTACATTAAAACAAGGTTTTAAATTGCATATCTTATTAATTTACAATCTTTCTAACTGTGATATAATATTAACAACTTTGATTTTTTATAATAATCTTGCATACCTACTATCACCAACATGAATAACGAAAAAAAAACGACCTTTAGTTGAATTTTTAGTTATGAAAGACACTTTCAGGTGTAAATTGAATATTTTTTTTTACATAATATTTTTAGTTTCTGAAGTATCAGGACTCAGCTCCAATTCAGGTGTTGGAGTGCTGCTCCAGTTCATTCCAGCAGCACTACACCTCTACTGCCTATAACACATATTCTCAACCTACCTTATATCTGATTGATTTTCAAACTTACAGTACTATGAAGCCTACCAAAGAATGACAAAATAAAAAACATCACATGCAACCAAACTTCCACAGAATTGTACCAAAAATCACATCTCATTCTTTAAATCATCAGTGTGTTTCTTATTCTTTTTCACTTAAAACTTTAAAATTAACTTTCTGAAAGTATTTTACTACCCAAATTAGAAGATCCAGTTCTGGATGTTTTACAAACATTAAAATTATCATTAATACAGAAAAATTCATAATAAAATACTAAACAAATGAGTTTCTGTAAGTTTAAAAATTTGAGTAATGAATCAAATTAATACTAGTCCTACTTATAATCAGGCATTAGCTTTGTTTATGAAGATAATTTACAAAAAACGACCAAGATTTCATCCACATATTAAGATTATGCAGTACTGCATTAAACTGGGACTTAGTTTTGTTTCCTTCAAAACAACTACAATTATGTTTTGATTATTATACTTAAAATATAGACCCCAGTGGCACAGCAGAATGTCTGCGGACTTATACCACTAGAAACCGGAATTTCGATACCCATTGCGAGCAGAGCATAGATAGCCCTTTGGGTAGCTTTGTACCTGATAACAAACAACACCTTAAAATATGAAGGCATGCAAAGTGATTCACAAGGAAGTAGAACTCCAAAACACATACTCTAAATGATCAACCTATATGGCTTTGAATAATTCAAAAGGTAAAAAAAAGATCAGTTTTTATTAACACATTTTGAGAAAGTGGGATCATTAAAAGCACCCCTCAAAGACAAAAGATCTCACCTCACAAACTTAATGCTTATTCAAACTTTTTCTTACAATGATTATTTCTCTGGTGGGTGTTAAAAAGTGTTTATTTACACCCAACCTCACTTAGTTCAAAGCTTAATTATAAATTCCCTTACCTCGAGAAACTCTCCAATGGGTGTTAAAAGGTGTTCTTCAACACTCATTTCATACTGCAGTATTTCTTTTCCTAATTTTTCTTGGAGTGAAGCACTTTTCCCAAAGATAATGCTTCAATATAATGTATATTCAAATGAGCATTTTTAATAAAGAAAAAAAATTGTGAACACAAAATTAATATTTTAGAGCAGTAACAAAGAATTCTAAAAAATTCCAGAACATACAAAATCTTTGAAAATGTAAAACAAATATCAAACAAGTTATAGAAATGGATCAAAGAACAACATAAACAGAATGACTTACAGGTAGCTAAACTTAAGAATCAACGGTAAGCTTTTGACAATATAAAATCATCTTCAATTAGATCTCTACTTAAATGCTTTCCAACGTACTTGTACACAGGAATCTAACAGAGTTATAAAAAGAACACTAATAATACAATAGATGGCCTTCCTTCATTTCTTTATACTCTGAACATATATCAATTTCAAGGTTTCAAAGAATGACATCATCTACCAAATAGTTGGTTTTTTTTTCTTACTTTACGGAAGTATGCCAGGGTTACCTTGATATTAACGTTTCTACTTATTCTAACACCACATAGCTATGCATGGCCAGCTTCAGTTGAAATACCAACCATAAACTGTGAATAAAAGTAAAAAAAAACTTTACTGGCAGCAACTCAAGCAAATGGGAAAAAAAGTGTTTTAACTATAAATACGACATTTTTCATGGATTTAAGCTAGAAAGTGTACGTTTTGAATTAAATACATGTTAATTTTGTTAATACGTTATAAAACATTTTTGCCAACATTGTGGATCTTTGATGAATCAGGCAGTGTTCAAACTAACTACAGCATCAAAGTTACATCATGTAAAGAAATATTACTGATAGT